CACTTCTGAATATATGGCAGTCTTTCGATATACTATTGTGATTTATGCATTCTGACATAATGCAGTCTGTCAAAGTACGGTTCGACAAATTACGGGTTGTACATATTGCAGTCGCTGAAATATGGTTCTGATGATTTGCTTTTCTGATTGCTTACTATTCTAGTCAAATAAATTCCTACTAATCGACGGTCTGTGTCGATACGTTCTGATGATGTATATGGACCCACATTCAAGTACATCAATCAGGATTCAAAATTTCCTCCTCAATGCCTACTTCATTCATAAAGCTTCATGGCTATATTTTGCAGATATGCAGTTAGCTGATCCGTACTTCACCTTCATCGGTTGATTTTCTGATAGGAGCTGATAGACTTCCAGATGTATTATTGACTGGTCTACGTCGAGGACTATCAGATCAACCCATAGCCATTCAAACAAAATCTGGATGGATCGTTATAAGAAAGGTTGTTTGCCTACCATCTTCAGTCACTTTGTTTTGTAGTATTTCGAATTCATCATCTCTCGATGAAAGTATATAAAAAATCTGGAAACTCGAAGAAATTCCGTCCACCCAACTGTTGTCCCCTGAATAGATTGAATGGGAAAATCATTTTGTCGAGAACCATCCTCGAGATGCTTCTGGTAGGTATATGGTTTCTCTTCCATTCAAAGGAAAAAAACCTTCATTTCAGGAATCAAGATCTGTAGCTACTCGTCTCGTAGATTTCTTTCGTTGAAACGTCGTTTACATAAGGATCTCGAATTTTTTGCCTTCTGTACGTCTTTCTTGAAGGAAAACTTGGAGTTGAACCACATGTCCTTAATGAATTCCCGTCCTAAGAATCTCACTTAGTGTTTCTTCATTCCTCATCATGTCGTGTTTAAAACGGATAGTCCATCTACAAAACTTAGGGTTGTTTTTGACGCCTCAGCAACTATGTTTGATGGCGAATCACTCAATCAAACTTTGTTAGTTGGTCCCAAGTTACGAAGGGACCCCTCATCAATTTCAGTCCATTTTAGAGTAAATCGTTACACATTCACCGCTAATATTCGGCAAATGTATAGACATATACACTGGTTATTCCAAAATATAGAGATTATAAAAGAATTTTGTGGCGATTTGATCCGAATTACCCTGAACAAGAATACCAACTTAATACGGCGACTTATGGTATGTCGTCTGCTCCATTTCTAGCTATTCGCACTCTTCAGCAGTTGGCAGAAGACGAGGGCGACATGTATCCGCAAGTGTTGGTGCCTATGTGACTCAAGCCATTATCAGAAAATCTATACTGAAATATCAAATATAAATTATATCTGCCCAGTTTAAAGCCAAAACAGAAAAAAAATAAGATACGCATGTCATACATGTCTTTATCTGTAAGCATGAATATTATGAGTGAATTTCTTCAGCCATGGATTTCATTATACCCCTCACGAAATTGTTGATGCCAAATTTGGTACTCGAGGAGTCTAAACTCTATATCAGCTTTGTATTTTCAATTATCTCTATGAAATTAGGGAGAGGGGGGAATAAGAAACTGTAACGTTTTTATTTTCCAACAAGTAAGCTCTATATAAACGTAACTCGTTTGGTCATTTTTAATGGTATTCAAACACTAAATACTATGGTACACATACTTTTATTTCTTCTACTATCATACATAGTCTAAATATTGTGACACCACTTTGTACGCTCGCTGTCTCACACTGTATTCACCTCTAGCAGTGCATCTCAGGAATCTGTAACAAAATAAAAGGTTTATTAAACAACTATTCTATAGTAATACATTTGAAAAATACTTTGATACACAATGATAATAAACTTACATGTCAATTATTAGCTGCTAGGATTTTACAATATCTTAGTGGGGATGTCTGAACAATCAGTCAACCATCATATAGCATTGTGTTTCATCGAAGATTGATCTTGAAAATCTTGAATAAAATAACATGTATTTTCCAATCCTGTAAGAGATAGAACGACAGCGTTAGATTTCTAAATGAGTGACTATAGTATGATACTGGGTCAATATACTTTCTCAAAAATATGTTGATCTTACCTGTCTTGTATATAGTGTCCGTCTCAATACTTGTGGGTATTCATTCAATAAAATAAGTATTTTATTTTCTAAATTTTCGCAAGGTTATCCAATGTTTATTTCCAAATAAATTGCGGTTAGGATTATGTAGATGTCAGAAACTTTTCGTCTTCTTTTTTTACTAAAATTCTTTCCTTCTAATCTTTGTGGTTCATTCATGGTTCATTCTCATCTGGTTGTCAGGTAGTATGTATGACGTCAGCCGTCAAACATCGTTTCGCAGCCGCGATTCTGTGATACTGGCGTGATCGCTTCCGCAATTGATGGTAATTTGTCATGACAGGAATCTTGACATCTAGTCATCTTGTCAAAGATTTTTCCCAATTTTTTGTTTTCCGGATTCCATCTTCTTTTTGGGCATCAGATCAAGAAGATGCATGCTTCGGTAGAAAATCAAAATTTTTCAGTAAATTACTCTTAAAGAGTGTGTTTTTTTTGGTGGAAAAATGGGGCTGGCATTCCAGGCATCCCACTCAAAAATGTTTTTGTATTTTTCGACCCAAGGCGTTTGGACATGTTTTTTGGTTATGAGCCCTCGTGCTCCTCGAGGTGAGTTTTCACACTAATTTCTTTTGAAGAAGGTGGTAGAATGTTTTTATTCACTCTATTAGGGCTCCTATGTATGGCTTTACTTGGAAGACTCTTCCTCACCTTTGATAACAACACTTCGGCCTGCACTGATGATTTGAAAATGCTGTTTTGGGGCTCATCCTACTCTGCTGGTGTGCTGATGAGTGAGGCTCCCAGTTTTGCTGCCAGAGGTTGTTTTGCAGCCATCTGTAACTAGGGCACTGCTGTCTTTGGCCCCCACACTGCACCATAGAAAGACCTACCTACCAGCTATGATTGGCCATCTACATTCTTCATTTACCTACCTACTGTAAGAGATTTTATTCTTTTTTAAATGAACCATGCCATGGATTTATGGATCAACACTGGATAACTTGCAGACCAGTTTTTTTTTTAGTTTAGCTTCTCATTGAATCAATCTCCTATAGTCTTCATCATATAATAATAATATATTTGATCATATTAATACTGTCCAAGCCCTACTGATTAATCAATTTTAACACCACATGCGCCCAAACCAAAATTCATGAATTTTCCCAAGGGATTTTGACCATTAGACAACTTGTCATCACATTCTGAAAACATTTTAACTTGCAGTACATTACAGGTGGTTTTTTTTTTGCTTCATAAGATAAATGAACTTATAAATATGGACTTTTCACATGAGTAGTAGATATTTGATTCAATCATGTAAATAATCACTGTACATACATACATGTTATTCATATTACTAATGGGTAATGAAATTCAGATGAAATTAAAATTCCTAGGTAAAACTCCTGCTTTTATTTCACTTGTCAACATTTTTTTTCAGGTTTCTGATTTTTACCTAAAGCTAAGAACTGCTTGAAAGAATCAGTGGCGTCCAAATTTTTGCAGACTTGATTCATTCATTTTTTTTTAACTTAAAAATAATAATAATTTTTGAAATTGTCCATGTTACAAAAGTTGCCTTCCTTTTAATAGCAATCTACTCACAACCTCTGTGCCTCCGATGAACAGCTGCCGTAAGCACTGGAAACGTTCAAATTTTCATTTATTTTCATAAATAATCATGTCACAAAAAAAAGTACGTTTCAAAACGATCACTTTGTTCATACGATACGTACACTCGTCTTCAGTTAACATGTCGCGGTTGGACGGTATGAGCGCTCTTATTGCAGCGGAGCTGACATCGCCCATGTGCGACATGTTCCCTGAAGACGTCTGTACAAGTTAATCGTTTGTTGCTCATATTTTTGTTAGACGATGAATCACATTTTGAAAGTACCCATGGATTTCTTTCAGAACTTTATTCAGTCGCTCAGTGCCTTGAAGATATTTACGAAACGAGTATTCAGCGAAAATGGTAGGTGGGAAGGTTAGATCAAACAGAGGACAAGTCTGATGCTCACTATTACATGTTTGCCTAAAAAGAGAAAGAGAGATATATTTCAAGAATATCATTTGTGACGTTGTCCTCAGAAAAATAACTCGATTTATTTTTCTTACCATTTGAAACCGAAATGAAAATCCTGAAAATATTGGAAAAGGAAGACGAAAAAGAAAATGGAAACATGAATAAGAACAATATCCATGATTTTTTTGAGCAAGAGCAGTTTGAGAAAAACGAAGAAGTATCGATATTTATTTACAGGAATTATATAGAGGAAACAAATAATATATCAGAGATTCTTTGAAGAGACGATTATTTGTATATACCTAGATTCATATATTCCCTGAAAAAATATCCTGTATTGAAAATCTCTATATACAGGGTGTTTCCGAAATTGGGGCGATGAATGAAATGGGGTGTTCTATGAGACAAAATGAAAATTTTCCAAAAAATGTGCGCTCCCACCATACTACATCTTTCAACTATTGAGCGTCCGCCATCATTGCAAAAGTTATTTTTACTTTTGGTGCTTGTGATCTCGCTGAAAGCAAACGCTTGGGTTGGGCAATTAACCCCTGATCAATGATTCACGAAAGTTTCAGGCAAACTTTGAAGCTGTCAATATTTTACAAAATATTTGTTTTTCGACAGAGATGTATTCCTTCATTTCGTTTCGTTTTTTGTCTTCTATATGTATATCATCCATTTCATTGATCGTCCCAATTTCGGAAACACCCAGTATATAGAGAGCTAGATAGAGGGTATCCGGCTCGGTATCCGGTGAACCATGGATCATCCTCTAGCTGGTCATAAACAAGTTCATAACCTATCAGAAGTTCATCATACTGAATACTGACTCAAATTATTATATTATCATATCCATGTGTTGACTTTTTTTTGTTTTTCATAGAAATTTTTTTCCATATCAACTACTACTATTTTTTTTTTAGTTGGATATTTCAGCTGTTTCCCTCCTTGGAGATGAGGAACTAAAAGAATATATTCCAAAATACGGAGATCGCATTGCAATAATAAACTTTTGCAAGCGACATCAAGGTTTGACCCATAGAGAGAGCCTAGTTGAAAAACTGAAAAGGAAGCTGGAGAGCAAAGATAAAAGAACCAGACATTCATCGTCGACTGATTCCATGCCAGGCACCAGTGGTTCTGTTGAAACGTCCTACAAAAAAAAAATGTACTAGAATGGTGAGTTTTGGTTGGATTCGGAATGGAGTACAGGTCCGCTCTAAGTCTGGTGGAGGATCGAGGAGATTGAGTGTTCCCGTTACCTGGAAGAAGGCAGATTTATTAGAAAAAGCAATCCAGCTGTTTTTTGCAGAAAATCCAAATGATAAGGAGTTGGAAACCTGCACAATATTGGATTTCAAACATCATGAATTTGATGATGACTTGACTGTCGAAAAAATTTTTGATGTTACAAAGTTGACGTATTTCTCATTTTATCTATCCACGACTACAGTTCCTGAGAAGGATAAGCCAGAAACAAATAATAATGAGGAGACAGCATCGGATACTCCTACACAAACAAGCGATACATTGCCATCCATTCCCCAAGTCCCTCCAAACGATAGCGAACCATTCGTAATGGAAGATTTTGTTCAATTATTTACCGTCAATGACGGAGTGAACTTAGAATTACCTATTACTGAAGAATTCATCATAGAATCTTCACAGAATCTGGAACAAATCAAACTGATACTCCATAGGGGCCACATTATGAACGAACTTTTAGAAGCGTTCAAATCATATTCGCACATTAACATAGTCTTAGAAATAGAAATGCTATTACCTAATGGACAGAAGGAAGCAGCTTTTGATGGAGGTGGAGTTTACCGCGACGCATTGTGCGAGTTCTGGTCCGAATTTTATCAGAGGTTATGCACAGGAAACACTTGCAAGATACCAGAAATCAGACATGACTACGATGAATCGTCTTGGTTAGCTGTTGCTCGAATTCTTCTTCAAGGGTATAAACAAGCGAAGTATTTTCCCTCAAAACTCTCACGTGCCTTTATGGAACAAGTATTATTTGGTACGGTTGTCTCTGATATAACCGAATCTTTTTTCAATTATTTGGGGCCCTATGACTCTGGAGTTTTGAAGAAAACTCTCGACAATCCAGAAGAAGCAGATATTTCAGAGATCATCGATATCATGGACAATTTAGGATGTAAATCTCTTATCAACAAAGAAAATGTCAGTAAAGTCATCAGAGATATTGCACATGCTGAACTCATTCAAAAATCAATGTTCATCATCGATGCATGGAAAACTGTTCTGAGAAATAAAATTACATTCGAAGACATCGTTGATGTTTATGAGACCAAAAAAATAAATAACAAAAATGTTCTGGAGTAGATAAAAACTTCAAGACGCCATCTTTTATCAGCCCAAGAGGAAACTATTATAAATCACTTAAAGCGCTTCATTCGAGAAGTAGACTTGAATATCTTAGAAAACTTCTTAAGATTCTGTACTGGGTCCGATGTGATCGCTACGGATGAAATAACTATTGAATTCAATCAATCAACAGGTATACATCGTACACCCGTCGCTCATACATGTACATCTACTCTAGAGTTATCGATTAACTATGCATCCTACAATGAATTCAGATATGAATTGAACTGTGTTTTAGGATCGAACATTTGGGTAATGGATATAATATGAATTTGAATATATAAATGTCTATTGAAGAACTTGGGGTTAGTTGAACCTAGAATCTGAATAAACGCAAGAAATGACCGCTCATAGAGCAATATCATTTCTTGCCTTCATGTAGGTTGCGGGTTCATTTCAATATTGTACTCGTATTGTCCATCCAAAAATAGGTGCACACTTCTATAGTAGGCTATGATGTAGGAATTAATTTTTTCTGTTCATTTATTGAAAAAACTATTTCATTCAGATATTTTGGATCATGCTAGCCTAGCCTAGTCAAAATCTCAAAATACAACATAAGGAACCCCTCAAGTATAGCCATGAATTCCTAAAACCCTAAGACTCAGACTACATTACCAAACCAGGACTGTTGGTTGTCATTTGAGATTTTGAAACTGTGATAGGTGCTAAGATATATGTGCCTGGATGTTTTAGTGTAAAAATGTTTTCAGGTTTAGTTTTGCTGAACTTTTTTTGATTTGTTAACAATTTTATTTTTGTTATAGTGCAGAAATGTTTTCAGGTTTAGTTTTGCTGTCGATTTTTGTTGACGATTTTTTTTTAAACAATAAGAATTCTGATGTGCTAAGAGTCGGTTGGTTATTACTATTATACTAAGCAAATGGAGGCTGGGCTTATAACAAATTGAAAACTATAAAGGTCTTATATTCCATAGTAAATATTTTGACAGTTGACAAGCCACTCTACACTTGTCCACTTGTCAAAAATATCTTACAGATATACCCCCTCCACTCTGAACATGCTCATTGACTTCTTGTCGTCCGAACAATTATTAAGTGCATACCGCTGTGTATACTTTAATGTGTGAATCAACTTTTTTTCAATATTTTCATGTTGATTTGATGGCGGATGAATTATGCTCGTTGACCGTTCAGTTGTAATTTTTATATAACAATAAAGAATTTATTTTCTCAATTTCTCATTCCACCTTTATATGTACCTGATTATAAGGTTCAATTATTAGATTAAATAATAGAAATTTAATGACTAAGGATGAAAATTGTCGATTGGCAATAGCTACACATACACATAAGATGTGTAATAGTAATCCAATAAAATTCTGATGAGTTCAAATCCAAAGTAGATCCATATCTTCGTAGTATTCGCTTATAGTAAAAAATGTTCGTAGTGGCATCCGTATTCAAGATAAAGGGTGCTGAAAGAAAGTATAAACATTTTCAATGATCAAAAGTACTGGCAACATTGTTACGAAATTTTGTACGGATATACCGATATACCTAGTTTGTTCGAAACAAATCTTTTTTTCACTGTGAACTGTTCAGATTTGAAAATTTTGATGCTGGTGTATTAAGTAAGTAGGTATTATAAAAAACGATTACCTACTCATTGAAATCCAAAATCAATATCATTATTCCAATTCTAAAGTTTTAATTATAGAGAAAGAATAACAAGAAGAGAATCAAAATGAATATGAATAAAAACACGAAATATTAATTTTTTTCAGCACCTCGTAAATATCATGAATACGGATGCCGCTACGAATTTCTTCCACAAAACAAACCCAACTCATTTTGCAGTGTTCTATACCTATTCCACCAACGGGGTCACCTCTTTTTGAAACAATCTGTGTACCAAGTTACCAAAGACATTTTCATCAGCGTATTATTTCGTGAAAAAGTTTTAAATTGGAAGTGTCAAATGTTGCCGACAGCTCAGGTGAATGACATTATTTCTTATTCGAATGATAATCAAATTCAGAGCATTATCTACAGGTATACCTACTAGCAGCAGGAGTGCAATAATAGTATATTATTGAACAGCACATAACGACAGATATAACGAAGATGAAAATTGCAGTAAGAGCTGGAAGCGAGTGCTGTAATCACCTGAATGGCTAATAGCCATTATGCGCGAGTAGAATACTATACCTTATCAATAGGAAAACTCATCTCAGTCTCCTCCTTTTGTTAGTTTCAATCATCAAAATTCATGGTTTCCGAATTATGTATTTTTGATTGTACCAAACTCATTTACTTCGTGATTGAAATAAATCTGAATAAAGTTTCAGTACCCCTGACTACAATTTTCGAGTCGGTGATAGTCGATGATTTCTTGTACCAAATAAGTCAACTTATGAAGCAACTTGTTATCACTTTATGAGAGTATGTAAGTTTTTACCAGATAAATATTTTTAATCGACAATTCTCAAAATGTGTACCATATCTACTCTCTATTTCGAACGGCAATACCATACTCGTCCTGACGGACTCGTGGTGCTGGTAACAACTTACACACTCTCATAAAGTGATAACAAGTTGCTTGGTATTGCTGTACGGACACCCTGATGGTGTTTTATGATGATGACAATTGGTACAGGTATGTTTCAAGTGATCCTGATACAGAAACAATTATTATCTTTCGTGAAAAAAAATCCCAAATAGTACTTTCTGAAATATGGGTCAATAAAATTGGTCGCAGGTGCCAATGATAACAGTCCAAGACTATAGGCACTCTGTTGTTGGATAGACATTTCAAATACCTATCCAACAAAAGAAAGTTTTTCGAAATCGATCAGATAATAACGATTTTACAGGGGTGGTAAGTCCTTGGTGGACACACGGATAAGTAACAATTTTGCAGAATTTGACGTATTTGAATCACAAAAAATTTCAAAACTATTTTGAACGATTCAAAAGTCACATATAGATTATTATAACCGCTATACAGGATGTTTGGTTCACCAACGTATATCTGAAAGGGGGTGATAGGTGAGATTAGAGTTGAAGTGCTGTCATGAACGTTATTGTAAACGCAGAATTTGGCAGCTACGCATGCGCATTCCTTGTTTTTTCACGTTTGCGTTGGTAGTGGGCTCTCGGGTGTACGTTATCTTGCGTACTTTCACGTACACCTTAAATAGCAACGTACGTTAACCAAAATATGCCAGTGAGTTCAGATTATTGACGTGAGGATCTCCAAAGAGTTCCGCATTGTGGATTCCTCTCATTTTAGCACGAATAAATGTTCAGATCAAAACCAAGAACCAAAAAGGAAGAATACAAACCGGAAACAAAAACTACTTATCACGTTACGATGACACTGATGACTTCAACTGTGCTTCAACTCAATTTAAGGACAATTCGTATGCGTTATTTTTCGTACGTTAACGTCTACGTGGAGGTCTACGTACAGTGTGCACTACAACTCTTTAAAAGTACGAAGTGATACGAATTCAAAGATATCATACATTCCATTTTTGATTGTATCTCCCTTTCTCACGAAGTTGAAAAGGTATTTCATCGTATTTTGAATACGTAATGGGATCTGAATGTGATAATGAAATATTTTGGCTCGTTGAATTTATAAAACGAATTTCTGTAACATCTAACTTCGAATTTGTAAGTGATAATTTCTCGAAAAATGTAACACTTTGTATATAGTATAGATGGTTGAATATGTTCAAAATCATATTATCTACCACCTCCTTCGACATTTACGTCGGTGAACCGAACGCATCTAGACATTCCGTATATGTATTTGGCACCAGAGTCGTTTCTATTGGTCAGTCTAGAATCTCCAGCCAATAGCGACAGAGTGCGATACTCGCATACGGAATGTGATTCAGTGCCAAATTCAGGTATGGAATGTTTTTATCAGCCACGCAGTGTCAGAGTGCGAAATACGCATATGGTATGTGATTCGGTGCCAAATGTAGGTGTATAGAATGTTCTATAGGTATATCTATTCTATAGGTACCTATATCACAAAATACAAATTGTTTATACTATGCCGCTTCACTAATATTGAAAACGTGAAAAACGCATAGGTATAAATATATAGCTCGCCTCCAAATATTTGTCCTTCTTTATAGTACCTCTTGTGGTATGTTTATTGACGGAAATCTTAATTTTTGCCTTGCAACCTTTCTTATTTTTGTCGGCAGCTACTCTTTGGTAACTTGAATGATGACATAAGAATTCTTTACTGTGACAATATTTAGTTATTGAGATACAATGCATCCTAGCAGAATGAGTGCATACTTTACCTGCATATGAAATGTGGAATATTTACTTTTGATTATATAGATCTCCAACTATTAGAAGTGATTTTTTGATATGCAGTCATCCATTCATCAATCTCAGTTTCAAACTTATATTCAGGCGGTATTTATTTATGTTAACCGCGATTTGTCTATAATTTTTAGGCAGAATGTCCATTTCGCAAGACAAATAATAAACTGCACGAAAGAACAACGATCGTGAAACTATACTTACATGAGTGGAAATGGCAAGTAGGCGTTGCGAGCGTATTCGAATATTTTGATAATGGAAAAAAACATTCCATACCTGGATTTGGCACTGATTCACATTCCGAATGCGTATTTCGCACTTTGTCGCTGGTTGGTTGGGAATTTCGGATTGACCAATAGAAACGACCTAGGTGCCAAATACATAATATGGAATGTCTAGATGCGAACCGAACACCCTGGTGTCCCTGGTTATATAATATCTAAACAAATGGACTGGTAATGAAAATACCTACTCATCTTGTTTTCAACATATTTATTGTATTATTGAACAATAATATACATAAACATCTATATTATATATTTATATACTATATGTATATAGATATATATCATATTAGTAACATCTTTACCTCACGTCTCAATTTGAAATATAATTGAATGCTTTCGTAAGGATCAGTACGTTTTGTGTAACTATTTTCCAACATAATTTCGTTGCACAGGTTGAATACATCTTCATCACATGGATTATCAATGAATCTACATTCTTCCTTAAGAATATCTAGTAAACAAACTGGTACTTCAGTTGAATAGTTCTTAGCGCCGTATAAAGAGGGCATTTCATACATTATCATAGGTCTTCCAGTTGGAGATATGCTATTTCTACTTCTTTGAATCCTATGAGTGTTCCATTCCATAGCTATTTCTTCGAGGTCGTTCTGTGAACATTAAAAAAATAACGAAACTGGGGAATCTT